TCTCTTGGCAAATTAACTCCTTTGGATTCCGCTGCCATCTGTATACTGATAACACCCAGATATATCTCTTCTCCCCTGATCTCTCCCCTACGGTCCTACAACTTGTCACTGCTTGCCTTTCTTCAATCTCTGATTGGATGTCCTTCTGCTTTCTGAAACTCAATCTCTCTAAAACTGAGGTTCTTATTTTTGATCCTGGCCTCACCTTTGCTCCTCATATCTAGTATGTTGCTAAAACCTGTCGATTCCACCTTAAAAACATTGCCCGCATCCACCCCTTTCTCACACAAGATGCTGCCAGGGAGCTTGTTCATGCTCTGGTAATCTCTCATGGATTGCTATAATTTTCTCCTAGTTGGTCTCCCCAGAAGACGAACTGCCCGCTACAATCAGTAATGTATGCTTCCCGTCAGGCTGATTTTTCTCATCTGTCGCTCATCTGTCATACCTTGCCCGTCTGTCGATCCTTACACTGGCTTCCTATATCCTATAGGTATCAATTACTAACCCATACTTTTATAGCTTTAAACAACTCTAGCCACTGTTAAATTTCTTCACTGATTCATAGATATGACCCTTCGCGGTCTCTCCGCTCTGCCGGTGACCTTCTCCTGTCCACTGCTTGCACCCTTACTGCTAACTCACGCTTGCAGGACTTCGCGAGGGTGGTTCTCTTCCTTTGAAACAGCCTGCCTAACTCCATCAGACTCTCCCCCAGTCTTCAATTGTTTAAGAAGTTGATTTACTCCACAATTCCTGAATGTGAATATGCTGTCAATGTAGTCATCCAGTGATAGACCCACCAATTTGCAGAGTTACTTTATCTTCAATGGATCCCAATTGCATAAACAATTATTTATCCATCCAGTAGTAGACATTGCAATGTACAGAATTATGTATTCATCCAGTGATAGACCATGCAATATACAGATTATTTTTCCAGAGAGTGATATGCCATGCAATTTACAGATTATTTATCCAGCCAGTGATGTACCATGCAATACACTGATTTTTTTAATCTAGCCAATAATTGACCATGCATATAAAGATTATGTATCCATCCAGTGATGGGACCATGTGATATACAGATTATTTATACATCCAGTGATAGACCGTGCAATATACAGATTATTTAGCCAGCCATTGATGTGACCATGCAATACACAGATTATTTGTCCATCCAGTGATAGGCCATGCAATATACAGATTATTCGTCCATCCAGTAATGGGATTATGTAATATACAGATTATTTATACATCCAGTGATGTACCATGCAATACACTGATTTTTTTAATCTAGCCAATAATTGACCATGCATATAAAGATTATGTATCCATCCAGTGATGGGACCATGTGATATACAGATTATTTATACATCCAGTGATAGACCGTGCAATATACAGATTATTTAGCCAGCCATTGATGTGACCATGCAATACACAGATTACTTATCCATCCAGTGATGGGACCATGTAATATACAGATTATTTATCCATCCAGTGATGGGACCATACAATACACAGATTATTTATCTAGCCATTGATAGGCCATGCAATATACAGATTATTTGTCCATCCAGTGATAGGCCATGCAATATACAGATTATTCGTCCATCCAGTAATGGGATTATGTAATATACAGATTATTTAGCCATCCAGTGATACACCATACAATATAGAGATTATCTATCCATCCATTGATTGACCATGCAATATAAAGATTATTCTTTCATCCAGTAATGGGACTATGCAATATATAAATTATATGGCCAGCCAGTGATGGGACTATGCAATATACAGATTATTTAGCCATCCAGTGATACACCATGCAATATAGAGATTATCTATCCATCCATTGATAGACCATGCAATATAAAGATTATTTATCCATCCAGTGATGGGACCGTGCAATATAGAGATTATTTACCCATCCACTGATGGGACCTTGCAGTATATAGAATTATTTAGCCAGCCAGTGCTAGTCAGATCCATCACTGGATGGCTAAAAATTCTGCATATTTTCAAGAATTGCAGTGTATATTTATTTTATCTGCCAGAGAAAAAGCATGTTGTTGCCCTTACAACTTAAGCTGGAAAATGTTCTGCAACGATGCATAACACACTGTATATGCATTTATTAACAAAGCAAGTTTGTACAGACAGGAATTAAACATAAAGATGATCCTGTCACACCAGCTTAAAATCTAACGGATAATAAAATAATGTGAGATATGTACAATGAGACAACAAATATTTTCTTTACATTGGAATCAGCTGAATGTAATAAGCTTTTAGATTTCTAGGTACATTAAAATATTGGATTTGTAAATTTGAAAGTATTAAGAATTGAGAGAGATTTAAATTTTCTCCATCCATCAAGCCTCCTCCTTTCTCAGCATGGAATTAACGTTATAAAAGAACAAGTAGTTTCTCCTGAGAGAACACAAATGTATCTCTAACTGAGTATTATATAGCACTGGCGGGGGGGTGATTAGCTTTAAGAGTTAGTACCTAAATACTAATGTTCTAACTAAAGATCTTTTATAACTAATGGAAGTAGACATTCATCTTTCCTTTGGATGCTCACGGAACGTTCTGGAACTCAACAACTTTTGCAGCTCAGTTAAAATCCGCAACCCTGTTGTCAATTCTTTATAATCTGTGCCATTTAGTGAATAAGCCCATGAGTAGTCATTAGAAAGGCAAATCAATATCTGCTTCTATTGTCTTCACAGGATTTGGCAATTAAAAGCCCCTTATCCTTGGTACACAGTTTATGACAAATATTTGGACCATATTATTAAAACCCATTAAAAATGGAGCACGGTTTCTAACAGAGGATGATAGAAAGATACAATGAATCAGGAATTAACTTCTGTATTCCTTAGTCATTATATATTCAAATAAATTGATGATGACGATGATATATATATATATATATAAATAATTTCAATTTCCATTACAAATTGAAACTTTTACTATGCTAGCACATATAATTAATATTCCACATGTTGCATGTGACTTGGGCAATAGGTCAAAGAGCAAACTGAGTTAAAAACAAAAGCTAAACAAAAGCAATTACTCCTCAAAGCCTTACAATTATCCTGGATTTCCATGGAGGCGACATTCAAACACTGTGAGATTTACAGAAACGAGAGTTAGTGATTTATTATAAAGTTCGCATTTACGATTGTTGTGATTTTAGGATTATTTATTTATTTTTATATATTTTTTGTCTTATCCCTAAAAGAAGGTAATAGATGAAAAAAAAAACAACAATGATGTACCCCTTGTTCCCAGTATGACAGTGTAATTGTAATTGTATGTTTCATAAGTATTTTTTGTCAACAATAAGCAGCAAATTTGTACCTGTTATCATGACTATGTTAGATTATGTTTTTATTATGTTTTTATTGGTTCTAGATATAGCCATTTAATGACTTCTCTGATGGTGGAGATTTGGTCCTTTCACTGCGCCGTGTTCAAGTCCGACAAATGTGTCAGTAGAGAACCAATTGGGTTTATCTAGTGCAGTACATATTGGAGCTATGGGACACACATAGGTCATGTACTGGCTTTACAAAGGGGTCAAAATGATAAGGCAACAACAGCGAGCATATTGCATGTACATAGCTATGCTAATTTGTTACAATGGGCTGCATTCATGCTCACACACTGGTATGCACTGAGCTGTGTGACCCGGCAAGGTCATGCATTTGAATGAAAAGTGTTGAACAAAATCTTTCAAAGCCGAGGTAGTGTTGTTTAGTTGGAGAGCCTTACTCACCCCTACTGTGCACAATTCACTTAAAGCCTTTCACTGCCAAAAAGGAGAAGAGATAAAGTTAAATTCTTTCCACAGGAGAGCAGTGAGCAACATGTGACATCAACCTTTGTTAACTTTACCTCTGTCAATCTACATAACAACACGTATTGTGATCCTTTACTAGAAGTATTCAAACAACAAAGCAAAGAAAAAGGATAAAAACACTGTTGCTTTCAGGCTGCCTCTACCACCACAAGTAAACAAAATAAATTAAAAGAAATTGAGAATGCTATATCCCAAACAATGAAAGCAATTACTGATAGTTCCTACTTCCACCTAAGTAATTGGACAATGCTAAATCTCACGGAATGCTCAGATTTGTCACTGAGATGTAGCAGAAATAAACTGAAAGGACATAAGAGGTTCCAAATGTTTGTCAATGGTTTATACTGAAAGATAAAAAAATTTTAACAATAATAATATTAATAATAATAATCGTAAAAACATAACATATATAGAATCCAAAATAAGAATACAAATATATCAAACCCAAAAAAACGGGGGGAAAAAAAACATCCATGCATTGTAAAATTGATAATATATACATTATGAAAAGCACTACATAGTGTCAAATAAAGTGTAAAAGCACTTAAAATGCATAGTAGACGTTGCGCATACGAACAGATCAAGAGTAAAAGGAGAGACACATAAACTACAATCCAGCAGAAATGGCATCATAAAGAGTATTTTAATTTGACATTATCCTCCCATATGCTCCAGTGGTAAATTAATTAATTATTCAGCTGTGTTTGATGGCGATCTGAAGTGCAACACGTAACAATTATTCTTTAAGGCCGATGATAATACCTCCCTCTTTAATAGCAGGAGCTACATCAGACTTCCAATAACGTGGTACTACAATAGTGGCTGCTAGCAAGATGTGGCCTACCATTATCTTATCCACTTTGGTAATGTTTCCAGGAAAGGACCATAATTACTATAAATAAAAACACTAGTTAGTACATTTTGTCATGTGATCAGTGTGAGAACATTCCATAATAAGTGCAATAAACTGTGAACTAATCAATAATATTTATAGTCCATCCAACGTAGCAGATCTCTGTACTGTGTCAGGAAACTGTCCTCAAAATGTGACGTCTAACTGGTTTTATTTGTAATTGAAGTAAATACAACCGTGATTGGCCCTACATACCCATCCATGAATTTGAGAAGAGCTGTGATGGCCGAGTGGTTAAGGTGTTGGACTTATAATTCAATAGGGTCTGCACAGGTTCTAAAACTGTTCACAGGGAAGAGGATGGGTACATTTTAAATTAGAGGGGCAAAGGTTTTAAAAATAGTATTACTTTACAGAGAGGGTAGAGGATGCATGGAATAGCTTTCCAGCTGAAGTGGTAGAGGCATAAGGCTAGCCTAGACTTGAGATAAGGCTAGGGACTAATGAAAGTATTTAGCATATTGGGAAGACTTGATGGGCCGAATGGTTCTTATCTGCCGTCACATTCTATGTTTATAGAAGAACAATGATTGAGCTCAGAAGTGGCCAATTGGGTGACCGCCAAATGCCTCAGACTTGCTTAGATTTCGCCTCATGTCCCTTCAAGAGTAGAGCCTTGCGATCACTGTGAGTGCATCAAAGAATGTTTATTATTTGGGTTTGGCCTAACGTCTCACAAACTATAGAACCTCCTCTAAACAAGTTACTTACCATCTCTCTTGATTGAGTCAATCATCGGTGTCCAGGTTGGACAGAATTTTTGGGGGTAATGTGGAAATATAATTTCTGTATTATCAATGCAGCCTAAGTGTGGGAAGGCTGTGGATACCAAGAAAAGGTTTTGCCAAACCATCTTCAAACATTAAAAACATTTTTTTAAATGACACACATTGCCTCTTTGAAATATAACCAACACACTGGGCAGTAGAGGTTATGGTACTTAATGTAGTTCCTTAAAGGGACACTATAGGCACCAAAACAACTTTAGCTTAATAGAGGAGTTTTGGTGTATAGCTTGTGCCCCCGTAGTCTCACTACTCAATTCTCTATTATTTAAGAATTTAATCACTTTGCTTATACAGTCCTCGTCACATCTCCCTGAATGTGACTTGCAAAGCCTTCCTAAACACTTCTGGAAAAGGAACCCAGATATTCCATGTTCCTGTACTGCACAGTCTGTTTAATCCACAATTTCTGATCTCCTGCTAATATATTCATAGGCAATGCAGGAGCAAGGGGATTTAAACTTCCAATGCAAGTTAACTTCTGATTGAAAATGAAAGCATGGGGAGTTGTGGCTGGGGCTGAATAAACAGAAACCAAAGTGATTTAACTCCTAAATGGTGGAGAATTGAGCAGAGAAACTGTTTCATTAAGCTAAAGTTGCTTTGATGTCTATGGTATCCCTTTAAGATGGAATCCCACTATGTCTCTTTAATTTAATTTAATGTTGATAGTGAGTCTAGCAACTTATTATTATAATTATTATCACAAATATTTAAAGAGTGCATTTTCTGCAGCACTTTATAATTTGTAATGGAGTTAAAGTAATGAATAAGAGGCAAATGACAAGTGTTGAGACGGACAGCACAAACATGCCCACAATCATATAGGTTGTGCCTTCTGATACACAAATGTGTCAAAAACGTACATCAAACTTCATACATGTGGAGAGACATATGTCTACCCTTATTATAGAATATGTACACTGCCAATTTTTGGAGATCAAAATTTAGTCTAGGGCCTAGGCAATGCTCCACAGACAAAATACATATATAAAATATTTATTTACGGCTGGATCAAATATTCTGCATTTCTCCATTTAGATAGTTCTGTATGGAGAGTGCATTTCTTAAGTAAAAGGAATTACATGATGCTTATGGAAATAATTACCATAAATTCTGTGAGGTCAATTTCAAGTGACGTCTTATCTTCTGCAATTGTGTTAATTCCCAAATGATCCTTAGCAGAATTACAAAGCGACATTTATGTGTGCATTCTAAGGAAATTCAATTTTAGAAATGTTATCTGCAGTTGAATAGTAAATGATCATAGGGAAATAATCCAATTATATCAACAAATTAATTTTAGCTTGCTGAGGAACATCCCGGGTTATTAAAACATGTTAATTAAAAAGCAAGAATGCACTGGTATAAACAACCACTTATTTTCAATCTACTCAGCAAAGTATCTCTAATGTGAAAACATTTATATTTATTAATAGTTTCAAAGCATAAGTTGCATCATAAACTTAAAAAGGTCTTTTAACCCCCAAAGAACCACTGATATGCTTTGACTTTATCACATCTAGTTAAAGGACACTATGGTCACCAGAACCACTACACCTTAATTTATTGATTATGGTGTCTATAGCTTGTGCTTGAAAGGTTTTTAATGTATACACTGCCTTTTCAGAGAAAAAGCAGTGTTTATAATGCTGCCAGGTAACACTCCTAGTGGCAGTCACTCAGATGGCCTCTAGAGGTGCATCCTCAGTCAGTGCTGCACAGTGTGCAGGACCTACATTCAGCATCTCCACAATCTGCATGAAAATGCAGAAGGTTTCTCAAAGAGATGTATTGATTCAATGCATCTCTATGAGAAAATGCTGATTTGTGCATTAGATTGGCTGAGATCATCAAGATTGATGATCTCAGCCATGGAGGCAGAGTCAGCTGCAGTGCGAATTGCGCAGTAAGGGAGAAAAAGTGAGTAAAACCACCTGTTTACTCCTATCGGTTGGGGGCAGTCACCTAAACAGCCACTTCAGGAAAATAGTGTCAGCAATACACTATAATGTTCCTTTAATGAAGACGCTGTGACAAAATGGAATGCCACACATATTTATCATCAGTTGTCCTACTGTCACTAAGTAAGTGGATCAATCCACATCCACTTAGAGTTTTTAACAATTATATGGACATTGTAGTTACCCAGACTACTTCAGTTCAATTAAGTGGTCTGGGTGCCAGGTCCCTCAGGTTTTAACCCTTCAGATGTAAACATAGCAGTTTCAGAGAGGGTTAAACCAACCTCTAATGGCTGTCTTCCTGACAGCCACAAGAGGCGCTTCTGTGATCCAATGTGAGAAATGCTTTCCTATTAACTGTTTTAATGCAGGGAGGCTGGATAAAGGTAAGCTGCTGAAGGGGTTTTAACCCCTTCAACGCCACAGGAGGGGGACCCTGAGGGTGAGGGCACCCTTAGGACACTATAGTGTCAGGAAAACCGCTTTGTTTTCCTGACACTATATTGATCCTTTAAAATGTTTTTAATGGCACAGGCCCATGCTTGTCTTCAATTATTTAAAAATAAACAATTTATTTGGTTGTTTGAGGTGAAAAGATGAAGTGTTACAACTCCTATAAATCTTTGATTGTTATGGACTAGAGTTTTATTGTTTACTTCCAAATTCACTGAAATCCAATGGGCAAATTAATACAAAGACAGGCATAGACAATACTAACTTCCCCCAAATCAGTGGAGTACATTAATTTAAAGACTTGAAGGGACACAGTAGGCACTATAACCCTTTCAGCTAATTGAATTGATCCTAGTGATTGGAGTCCTTTGGAAACAGCCCAACTACATTCAGTGTTAAACCATTTTAGAGAAATGTAACACTGGCTGAGGATCCCTGGATTCCCATAGTCCCACCCCCACTGAAAGTATGGGTTCTGCAAAGATTACATAGTTCTTTGTAGCCATACCAATTCATACCTATGTCATCCTGGCATTTTTCATATGTCCTCTTGACGCTGTATGACAGAGCCTCTCTTCTGGCTGATTGGGAGACCGTTTACATGTCATGTGTCATGACTTGACACATATACATACACAATATGTTTATCACTCAGAATGTAAACTCATATATATACACGGCCTTCTTCACTTCTTGCATCCATCAACATCATTTTGTCCGTCAATTACTTGCTGTGGTATATCCTCACTATGTAATTGCAAAGCACTGCAGAACACGTTGGTGTTAGACAAATGCTAATAATAATATCACTTGGTGCTTTTTTGCAGTTTTGGACTTTATATATGCAATGTAACAGAGGGCACCAAGATATGACATCATATCCTAGCACCTCAGAAATGTGTTCCTACAGAGCATATATGACTGTCTGATACATGCATGTTAGTACCTGCCAACAGATGTTCTGTGCTAGAACACCTTCAGGCAACTTTCTGTTTCTCCTGTCCAAGACCCAACCCTGGATTATGATATCTTTCAAACTTTCCTTTGGATCACTATCTATCCACTTTAAAAATAAGGTTTTAAAACTTTTGACTAATTGATTACTTTTGTATATTTGAACCGAGTGACGTTAACTTAACAAAGCTTAAATAAGCTCAATTTGCATTTCTAATTGTATAATTAGATATCTGTGTTCATATTGTACTTTATGTTTACAAAAAACATCAGCTACAATATAATTAAAAGAAACATTTACTAACAGAAATTTATTTTAAAATATAATAATTTTATTCACAAAATACTTGATTGCAATGAATTAAAAACCGAGTTGCAACATGTAGGTTAAAAGAGCCAAGAGACAATAGCTGATTTGGAAGATTTTGAGAATTTTGACAAATGGGGCAAAACCCTCCATATATGGCAATTTGGACTGCAAAATCTGGACATTGTTCTTCATGCATGAATTATGTCCAAATTTCAGCCAGCCCAAATGCTGCCAAATGGCTGAAATTCAGACCCAAATGCTTGAAATCTGAATTATTTGGGTAATAGTTAAAAACCCTCAGCAATGCACGGGTTCTTATGTGGATACTGTTCAACGCTTGCTAGCCAGTCACTGCATTATAGCAAAAATAAATAATCTTATAGGGGTCAATAAGACCATCATAATACTTTAAGACAGTTGGGGCATATTTAATAAATATTCAAAACTTGACTTGGCAGCCATTGTAAATTGCCACCTGTAAATAATGGGGGAGAAATCCCCTTCAGTTCCACCACCCATGTGAATCAGATAGGGGACTTAATTAAATAATTTCAATTATGTTATTTTTCCACCCCCTGTAACCACCTATGACTGGCAGGTGTGGGTTAGAAAAACAATAAAAAAACGGGGGGGGGGCATCCTTATGTACCACTTGCCCTCATCTGTGCTCAGCTGGTGTGGGGTTCTAATATTAAAGTGGGGGAAAGCCAATATCCCCCCCAGCCCTGCCAATTAGCGTCGGGTTCTGGATCTAATGATAATATTTCAGGGGGACCTAATGTTCCCACCCCTGCTCCACCCATTTGCAGTGGATTGGGGCTCTATTAATAACATATTGGGGGGGCCTAATGAGGTCCTTACAAAGTGAAGATGGATTTAAAACTTCCGTCACAATTTTATTTTTCTGGTGCTTTTTTGCAATCTGGATTCTTTTTTTATTTGTGTCACGGGATTATGGAGTTTTACTTTACCTTTTTTTGGGTGTTGAAGATAAAAAGATTTAGAAGAAAGAATACTTCAGATTGTAAGTACATTTTTTTATGACAGGTATTAGTTTTAATGCCCCTCCTCACTATTATTAGAGTGAGGGAGGTAGATAGGGCTAGTTTATTTTTAAGTGAGTGACTATTGGGGACCTGTAGCCACCTGGGGGGGATGGATCTTGCCACTAACTGGGGAGGGTATAATCACTTAGAGCTCCACTCCGTCCGCTAATGGGAGGGGCTGGAGTGGGAGGACTAGATTTGGTTTTCAATGCACTGATCTTAACTTAGTCACTGAATGCGATTGTTGCAAATTTGCTTGGTCCAACAGATTTATGACCAAAACTGGTTTTAGCAAATACAAGAATTCAGATCGGAACTCAGTTATTTTCACCGGATTTTGACCATACAGACAAAAGCCGGTGTTTAGTGAAAAGCTTAAGCTTTATATACTAAAGTGAGAATTCAAAGTAAATTTAAAATTAAGGCCATATTTGGAGAACTGAAAGCATAGCTGACAGATAATTTTTTCAGTTTAGCTATTTTGACTTTAAATTTGAAATTCACTTTGAATTCATTTCAAATGTTCAGTTTAGTAAATAACCCAGACAGTATTTTTAAGCCTGTGTATACTTTTTCCTTATTCGTATAATTTTCATGCAATTGTTGATAGACTGAAGTGCCAATAATATAATTATCCCATGTCTTAGTGAAAGAACAAAAAGGCATAGCTAGAACATTAATTAGTCTCCAATGTTTATACCTCTTTCCTTTTCTCATAACTGACTGCCTTTAACATGACTGTTGGTTGACCCCCGGCTGACTTTTTTTTTTATCAATACATTACACAACAGGGGCAATCAATTCAAATTCCAACTCTGCAGCCTGAAACTCGTACACATTAAAAAATTACTTAAATAAAATTAGAAAACAAATTGTAACAAAGACAAACAAAAACAGGACACGTCATTTTAATTTGATATATGTAAAAACTTTACTGGATTAATTATTGGGTAATTTATTTTCATTCTGTTTTTGTTTACATTTGTATAGTTGTAAATTTTCAGAGTTATTTACTTGACTGCCGATCATGCCAAGTTAATTACTTGACACCTTTCCCAAATCCTAATCTTGATAAAGACATGACTTCAATCTTTGGTCACAACTTTAGTAACATATATTTTTCATAACCTACTTAACTTTAAGAAGATCTGCTGGTTATAGAAAAATATGGCAACCATCTTAACAAAAACCAAAAACAAAAAGATATATATTTGTAAATACTGCATAAGTCATGCTAATAAAGCCAACAGTTGACCATTGAACTTTAACCCCAAAGCTGGTGACAATACTCTTACTGGCAGATTAGAGTTCAGTTATGTTGGCACCTTCAGATGGCACATGAATTCTCTCTCCCCCATGCTCTAGATAAAGTTTGTTATGCCTCTGAAGCGGATGTGGCTAGTAAACAAACACAATTTGTGAAAAACAAAATAAAAAATGAGGGAGACAAGAAATGGAAGGGGGAGTCTGAAACCTCCTAGAGTGTTGGACAGGAACCAAAGTAGAGGGTGAATTCAAGAAACAATATAAATGCATAACTCAATATTTACAGGTATAATGGTGTTAAGAAGGGGGAGACACTAAGGTAAAACACTATGTGTAACGATCAGTGATCAAACTTTGCTGCTATACCGCCAATCTGGCACCATCTGCAGGACTAGGTAGATGAGTCCAGTGTAGTTCTTGAGGGGCTTAGGGTGCAGGTTACTAAGCAGGCCCCTCTAGGCTTGAAACTGAACATCCATCCAACACCCCTGTGGGGGTCATGTCCAAGGTTTGGGCCCTGGCCAATTTGGGGAGCGGTGCAGCTTTGTGAGGGCGAGGTGCCTCTCCAGCCCCCTCTTGCCATGAACCTGGAAACCTTTGCAGTTCAGGGTCTTCCCGGTTGGGATAGCACGGTGGGCACTGCGTACCATCTGTGCGTTTCTTCGTTTGCATCTTGTTGCACTCCGTTTGTGTGGCTGGTACTGTCGGTATGGAGTCCTTTTAGCTCTCACCCCAGGTGGGCAGCGTGTGTGGGTTGCAGACACTTGAGACCACTTTGCGCTCTTGAAAGGCTTCCTAGGCCTGCCCTTGCAGCGTTTTTTGCTCTCCATTAGGCGAGACATGTTCAGCCATTGCTGGCCTTGTGCGTTCCAGCAGCGTTGCCCAAAACTTTTCGAAGATAGCTTCAAGAGTGTTCATGGCTTTGTGGTGAGGGCCTGGTGAGTCTGCCTGATGTATGTGCAGGCCACGTGTAGCAGGGCCTGATGTGTCCACCATCTTGGCGACCTCTTCTCCTGTCCAGCCTGGGAGTAATGCAGGACCCACTGAGAGACTCAAAGCTGTGGCAGTGGAGATCAGTGGGGACCGGGATATCCCCCACCAGTCCAAAGGGGGGGCTGGGTGAGTCGTGTTTATACGCGTCCGCCTTTCCCCTACACCGTCTCTTGTAGGCTGTGACCTGCTGCTGCGGCTCCCGGGGTCCCACAGCTTCAGGTCAGGTATCAAAAGTTGCGTGCAGGAGTCCCCAGTGTATAGGGCTCCTTAGAGTGAGTTCCAACAGCAGGAGCTCATGCAAGACACGTCTTGCCAGCTCGCCTGCCAGGCTCCGCCCCCCCCCTTCAATTTCAACATTTTAATTGGTGACATTTTAGTTTCCTATCTGCTTGCCTATTCATTCGATCCACTAATCAACAATTAGCTCTACGCTACTTTGTGAATACAAGTATTTATTGTTACATTTACAGAAATTAATATTAAGAGAGATGCATTAATACAAATAATGCTATATCTGATTACCAACCTAGTGAATTTATTTTGCTATTTTAAATTTAAGATAAAACTTTTCTTTATTTTTAAAGATATAAAATGAAATAAACTTGCACATACAATTCTATTCAAAGCCATCAGTTTTATTTAGCACAATATCTCTAGTTTCTATATGGCTGGTACAATAGGGATTATTGAAAACTGGAATTCTGACATTGATTTAGCCAATGTTTGCTTTTTTTTTCTATGAAAACTTCTTCCAGATTTTCCAGTTGATTTCCTGTTGTGGACATAGGATATTACTTTGTAAACGTGGATGATGGATATTCTTTAACAAGAGCAATTGTTTCCACATTTTTTGTAATTCCCTCACAAGGCAAAACATGGCAATTGTGTTCTACTCTTGCTAATTGTATAAATTATCACATGTTAAAATAATCAATAATCCATTACAGATAATCAGTGAGATAAAATAATCACATTGAGTAAGATAATTTTCTGCTTTATATGTACTTTATTTTGATACTTCTGTTTCTAGACAGATTTACTTTACATGCTTGGTCAGAGGCGAAGTATGCAATATTTGAAAGTTGTATATTTTGGTAAGGGACATCATTCACCAATTCCTACAATGTATAAACAGAATTGAGGGTGCAATGCTGAGGTGTGTGGGAAATAAAGTAATAAATATGGTAGAAAACACAGGTAGCATGGTGTAATAATAAAAATAAACCGATGAATGCTGCCACTCTTGGGATTACTCCCCAAAATTCCCAAGGAGAAAACCAGATACAATGTACATCAGGGTGCCAAGTACCAGTTAGTTTAAGTACATACCAATCAAATAGAATCATCGTTATTTTATAGAGAGTTTATTTTTACTGGTGTGATTTTAATTAAAAATCTTTTACTCATCTACAAAAGCGAATGAAAAAGCTGCTTAATAGATTTGAAATTTTGTCCTGAGTTTAAAAATACCCAGTGTTTACATTGCAGTGTTTTTTTTGCAAGTTATGGGGCCATAGGTACAAGTAGGATATTGCGGTTTCAAAACATACATTTTTAAAATTTATCAATAGTGACATTGTAACACTATTATCTGTCATAAATCTCTGAATAACACACCACATGTACATATTTTTTTTAAAGTAGACAACCCAGGGTATTCAATATGGAATATGTCCAGACTTTTTTAGTAGCCACTTAGTCGCAAACACTGGCCAAAGTTAGCATTCATATTTGTTTGTGTGTGAAAAAAGTAAAAAACTAAATTGAACGTTAATTTTGGCCAGTGTTTGTGACTAAGTGGTTACTAAAAAAGACTGGACATACCCCATTTGCAATACCTTGGGTTGTCTTCTTTTGCAAATGGTATGCCATCATGGGGGTAATTCTCATTCCTGGGCTACCTTACGCTCTCAAAGGCAATGTAACCAACCTGGCCATTTTCAATGTAAAAATATTTGACCCATATATTTGACCCTGTAACTTTCAAAAATGCTATAAAACCTGTACATGGGGGGTGCTGTTATACCCGGGAGACTTTGCTGAACACAAATATTAGTGTTTCAAAACTAGAAAACATATCACAACAATTATATCATCAGTAAAAGTGCTGTTTGTGTGTGAAAAATGCAAAAAAAGTCACTTTCACTGACAATATCATCGCTCTGATATGTTTTACTGTTTTGAATCACTAATATTTGTGTTCAGCGAAGTCTCCCGAGTAAAACAGTATCCACCATGTACAGGTTTTAGGGTGTCGTAGAATGTTACAGGGTAAAATACAGTGCTAGCAAATTAAATTCTCTGGACTTTCGGCCTGGGTTGGCAGGCATGTCCCTCAAATTGCAATCAATAAAATTACTTAATTATGTAAAAATATTACATAAATACGCATGTAGAATTTAAATATATAAGCATATTTATATATTTGAAGTCTACGTGTATATATATATATATATATATAATTACTTATGTAATTTTGTATATGGACATATGTATATTTCGTATTATTTTTATTTATTTATATATACATAGATATATATACAATTTCATTCTAAGTGTATTTTGATATAAATATATATATTAATATCAAAATACAGTTAGAATAAAATTTCATATAGATATATCATTTTTTTAAATTTTTATTATTATTTTTACATTTTTTAATTTAATTTAAATTACTTATTATGTGTATTTTATAATAATATTTATATACAATATATATAGTTATTATATATATTATATATATATACGTGTGTAATTTAATTATAAGTGTATTTTTATAGTAATATATGTACATAGTAATATAAAAATACACTTAGTATGACATTATATATATATATATATATATATATATGATATATAGACATATATTGATATAATATATGTCTATATATCATATATATATATATACACATATATAATTATTTTTTTATTAAAATTAACATGTATTTTTTTTTAATGATTTTACACATGCAGGGAGACTGCCTGTCAGCACAGACAGTCCCCCTACAGGCAGACACATGGACACCTATTGTGACCATGTGACTGCTCTGTTGAGCGATCACATGGCCACAGGGGTCCTAATCCGCCATGGGGAGACTGTGTGGGCTGCAGGCAGTCTCCCCACACCGGGAGCACCGCTGATCGCCGCTGGGGGAACGACGGCGATCGGGTAAGTAAATAAGACCGTTAGGACGGTTCAGGACTGTCACCGGTCAGCAAGGCAAAAATGCCGATGACGGTCCTGAACCATCATCTGTCCTTAAGGGGTTAAGGTCTTATGGTTTGTCATTACTCAAAGTAATCATTTGCCTACTGGAACAGGATCTGTAGACATATTTTTTTTTACATGTACTGGGTACTTTTTTTGAACTGAACTTTAACTTTAACCCCTGTGTAATTCTAAATCCCCTAACCCTATGTACTCACTTTTCCTTAATCTTACTTAAATTGTGATCCTTCTCTAACCCTAAACCACACTATACTTAGACACCTAACCTCAAGCACTCATTTACATTCAAGTTTGTATTCCTAACGTTATAGTGTTCCTTTAAGGTAAGAGACTTTTAATTGTGTTAAGCAAGTCAATAAATATGGTTAGAAAACTGCAGCCTTATGTCTGTCATGACAGGTTCACTTAAACACTCAATCCCACACTACACCCATACAACATACAAACATCTACATGCCTTATTCATTCCCATAATGAAACACATATTTATACATGTACATATCATCTATTGATATAATCCTAAATCAGTTTCATGCTTAGAATATCCAATTAATGATGCATTAAATTCACTTTACGTGTCTGAAATTCAGTACCTACAGGCATCTGGGATATAAATTCAGACTTATTCAGGACATACTTGGAAACTAAACGTACCTTGGTTAAAGTAAAGTTCTTGGTTAAATACTTTGATATTATTATTATTGTTATTATTATTATTATTAACAATTATAATATGACATTACAGTAACTGCATGTGTATTCTTAAAAAACAGGAATCATATTTAATCTCATATACAGTTACAGTCATTATTATTATTATTATTATTATTATTAACAGTTTCCTTTACAATTATAGAAGTATAACGTTCAACACTGACGGTCAAAAATAATGTTGATGAATTGAAGAAGACCCTGCTTAAATGCTTACTTCTGACAGTCTAGGAGGTGTAGCAATAAATTAAATTTTCATTTTTAGATTAATTGTCCCCATCAATTAGAATCAGCTTTGTTATAATTTGGGGTACAAATACTACATACCCAATATTGAAGACTTGAATTATACAAAATTATAAAATCACACAAAATAGTTTTACTGAAAAATAAAGTTAAGGAATTGGTTGGTAGCTTTACAAAGACTTTCCAAATTAAGTTACCTTTGTTTGTAGCCTGGGCACCAGCAAATCATTTTAGTATTTTTACTTTTAAGGTTTAAAAATTGACTTTGGAGTTATTGCCTCATTAAGATATCTGGTCTCGGGCTTGACAAAGTAGTGCCATCAAATCTTCAGAATTCAATGTACATGATCGATGTTTCTTAAGTGTGGAAGACTCTGCGGTTATAATAAGAAGCTAAATCATGACCTTCAGAAGTAGTCACTCTTTTATATGAAAAGTAAGATTGTGATTTAATGTATAAAGCTGTAGAGAGAAACACAAATTTAATAAAAGCTTCATCTGTCAAAACATAATTGCTTGCACATAAGTTTGAATAGTCAAGATGATCACCTTTCCAGCAACTGCAGTCTAATATTATTTTTTACGGACACAATAATATATTTAACATTATTAATACTGGCAATACCTTTTCTTTGGAGCTCACTACTTTAACATCCACTG